CAACTGAAGAGAAACAGCTGATTACTTTCGCTTATGCTTCAGTCACTGAAATTGTAAGAATTATATTTACAGGTCATCAGCGTTGATTAAGAATGGCCTCGGTGTATACAGGTAATCTTGATCCCCATAGAAAGACTTGCTAAACTATTTATACTTATTAAGCGCGTCACAAGAGAGAAAAAAAGACCGGTTATTCATTTTTACAGACATCTAATCTTTTCAACCACACTGTCAATCATAAAAAAAAAGATATATGAAAGAAAAAAACTACACAAAACAAACTACTAACAAAAGAAAAATCTCTGCAAATTGATTTCTCCAGCGACCCCTCCACCTGACTCGGCGATTCCTCCTGTACACGCGCCTGTCTGTCTGTCACTGAGGAGCGGCGCGCATCTTGTCGCCGAGGAATCTCGCTTGTCACTTCTGCGCGTCGACGAGTGTCAGCTGATATCTGAGATGATTCGGGGCGACCTTGACCCGAACTTCGGCTCAAGATTATGGTGTTTTGTGGGATGATCGAAGCACATAAACATTCGCGCGAACACACACACACACGGACACATACATATACACAATCTACCTACCCATCTATCTATATCTATATATCAATCCATACATACATACATATATATATATATATATATATATATATATATATATATGCATTGGGCGACTTGCACACTTCGCTCAAGACTACACCATCATTTTGCTATCCTTATAATTCACATAGACATAATGATATATATATATAATATATATATATTTATTAATTATATAATTTATATATAAATATTTATTACTTAATTTATAAATACGATTGATATTATCTGTTTATTAACATATATATAACATTAATTAATTATTATCACATGTGACACATTAATAATAACTATCATGAGTTTAATATACGTATATTCATGTCTTACTATGTACACATCATCTACAATATCTAACTTCTATAAATCAGTGTGTGTGGTGTGTGTCGTGTCATATTTTATAGTGGTGTGTGTGATGTTGTGTGCATAGTATGGTGATGAATGTTATATGTATATGCTTATGTATATTGTTACGTTTGGTATATACAGGTATATATTAAGTTATATACCATTATATATAAATAACAATAGTATGATAAAAAATGTCGATACTTGTTCTATAAAGGTAATATATATATATATATATATATATATATTACCTATGTAGTATAACTATACAGTATGCTATAACCTATATATAGTATTAATATATATGTATATATATTATATATATATCAATATACTATATATATATATACATATATATATACACACACACACACACACATGAATACGGATCACGGCACCCATCACTAACTAATAAATTCGTAATTTGTCGTGCTGAGAGTCAAAGATGCTAATTGTCAAGTAAAAATGTCAAATATGCCATTTGCGACGCGGTTGGCCGGTTCGGTATTTCCACACGGGAGGCGAAGAGGGTAGGCGATCCGAGGCAGAGTGGGCGAGTGGAAGAAAGTTTTGTGAAATCTAAAGTTTATAATGATTTATAATGTAGATGCTTATAAAGGAACTTTGAGGTAGGTAAGTGAGAAGGAACGACATAGACACATATTACATAATTGTATATAGATAAGATATATCTTCGAATATCCGGTATTATAAGATAATCATAATGAAGTAGATAGATTGACTGATGAAATTAGATGCACGAAACAAATTAGATAGACAAGTAGATAAGCTAGACTGATAGAATTTTTTAAAGATCAGCTGATAAAGGGAGTGAGGCAAGATGTTAATGTAGATAAGATAGGCTGATAAAGCAGATAAGTAGACGTGCAATCGCAGCGATTTATCTCAATCTTGTTAGTCATGAGTTTTATTTTACTTTCCAGAAGAAACCGAATTCTCTGTCTAGTATCCTTTCTATGTTTTATTTAGGTCTTATCTGTATATCTATCTATCATCTAGATTATTCTATCATATCTATTCTTCTATTCCTATCTATCTATCTAATTCTATCTACCTCTATCTATCTATCCTTCCATCTATCACCTATCCTATTATATAATCTATTCAGGGTCGTATCTATTAAGAAAGATAGAAGAAGGATAAAGAAAGTAATAATATGCTAGAAGAAGAAGAGTAGAAGAAAAGTGGAAGAGAGTAGGGAAAAGAAGAGGAGAGAGAGTAAGGAAAAGAAGAAGAAGGGAAGAAAAAGAAGAACGGGAAGAAGAAGACAAAGAAAGAACGAAAATGGAAAGAGAAAGATATAAGGAGAAGAAAAATGAGGGAGGAAGAGGACGAAATAAAGAAGAGAAAGAAGATCTAGGTAAAGAAGAGAAAGAGACGAGAATGAAAGGGACGAGAAAAAGAAAAGATATAAGAAGAAGAAGGATAAGGGTGAGAAGAAAAGAAGATAAAAATGAAAATCGAAATAAAATTAAAGAAAAGAAAGGAGATGAAAAAGAATAAAGAGAATAAAAGGAGAAATGAGAGGGCAGGAAGGAGAAAAAGGAGGCGGAGGAGGAGGGAGAATATATGAAAATAATATATATATAAATATGAATAAAAAAGAAAGAAAAAAGCAAAAAAGACGAAGGGGAGTAATCAGACGAAGAAGGAGAAAGATAATAGAAAGGATGATAATAATAAGAAAATGAGAAGAAAAAGGAGGAGGAGGAGCAGGAGGAGAAGGAAATGAATGAGAAGTAAAAAAGGAGAAGTAACATAAGAATGAACATAAAAAGAAGACAAAAGAAGAAGGAGGAGGAAGAGGAAGAGAAGTAAAGGAAGAAAAAAGTGTAGAATGAGAAGGAGAAGAAAAGAAAAGAAGACGAAGAAGAAGAAGAAGGGGAAGAAGAAAACGAAAATAAAAAATGATAAAGAAGAAGAAAAGGGAGAAGAAAAAAGAAAACGAAGGAGGCACAAAGAAGAAAAATTAGGATAACCTCTCCGACGCTCTCCTCCCTGGCCGAGTCTCGAGTCTGACCGGCTGCCGGGTGGAGCAGACTGCAGGTGTGTGTCTCTCGCCTTGTGTAACACTTTGCAGAAGGTTAATGAAAATAGTAATAAATTCCCGCGGGTTCTTAGGTTTCCTCGCCTTCGGAGTGTTCAGGATGTGTCGAGTCGTTTCTTGGGGCAAATTGGGCTCCGTCAAACATCCTTGGAATGGGTAGAGGCCGTTAGGTGTTAAGGCGCTGTCATCACACTAGCACTTTTTCCGTCATTTTTTTGACAATTTATTTAACATAAATACAAACATTCTCGAATATAACTCTTGATTTGACTTTGTTTGGCTGAAAAAGTTGACGTTGAGGTTTTCAGACGGAAACGATCATTATCGTCTGACTGGAAAATCGACAATTCGCTCAAAAATGAAAAAAAAATCCGAAAATTGTAAAAAAAGAAAAAAAATTGACGGAAAAAGAGCTAGTGTGACAGCGCCTTTACTGGAATACGCCTTGTTGGGTCCGTGGTTTCATGGCGGGAATTGTAGTCTGAGACACGCTAGGAGGTGCGGATTCCCATGGACGTCTTATCACAGATATCACAGAGAAAAAAATATGAGCATAAATAGTAGATCAATCGATAGATGGATAAATAAAAAATTTATAAAGAATGAACAGATATGTGTATGTTTATATGTATGTATGTACGAATGTAAGTGTTAAGATCTAGATTACTCTACAACCGCAACTAGAGAGGGAATTGTGAATGAAAATGAATTATTCAAGTTATGTTATCGACGCTTCGATTCTGCATCAGAAATGCTTCGAAACTACTGTAGCATTCTTTGCATTATGGATTTTTAATTTGCTTTTGCGGTTTTACTAAATTTGTTACGCTATTTATGCACTACGATTTTTTGTGAAACACCTTTTTTCATTAAAAACCGTAAACTCACCCTTTGCAATTCCCAAGACCGTCGCCATCTTTGCCAAGTCACCCTAATATGGCTTTGATCTCTGCGGCTAGATTTCCACCATCTTTTGCTGGTCCTATTCCATCTATAATAAGCTCATATTGACATGTAGTACTTAGTTGCATTAGCAGATTCAGATCTGTGTTGGCGTGACTGAAACTTTTCCATTTATCATCGTAGGTTAATTCCACTGATTCCGTAATTTCGATAATGTAAATGAAGATATGAATTGGAATGAGAATGGTAGTAGTTGAGCATAAAGATAATAATGCAGAAAAGGCATTGGTGATAACGATAATGTTGATAATGGTTAGAACAATATACCATTTACAACCTAACAAAATGTTGACAATGGCAAGGGTAACGAATAGGGTGGTTATTGTTAAATGGAAGAAGAATTAAAATTATATTGCCGGTAACTATAGCAAGAACAATAATAACTACAATGAAATTTATAACAACAATGATAACATCAACCAATATCAATAATTTCTTTTGTTGTCTGACACATGGTGACGTCACTCCTGAAAATGAATCACTGACAAACAGACAAATAGACTCGAGTGCAGTAGCTACAGCCAGAATAAGGACATAGAATACGCCACACCAGTAAAGTATTGGTATTCAATAGCGGAGATCAGAAACACTTAAATGCCACTGCCATGATGATACCATAATTACGTAGATATCAGAATACACAAATTTTAAGGAAAAAGCAATAAGCAGAACAAATAACACACAAAAAAAAAAACGAAAACAGGGGCAAATGATAATCGTAATATTATCACACCTGACACATGATAATTACAAATAAAAGACGAATTAAAGGAAACTAAAGCTAAGAAAAGGAAAAATCCAAATACCATAGTCTCCGTAACCTATATCCCATTTTCTGTAGCTAGATAAACGACTTTTCATCTCCTTATTCCACTTAATTATTATACCATCCTCACCGCAAGCAAAGAAATATTACAAGTGAAAGAAAGATAGACGAAATGGAAAAAAATCAAAATACCATAGTGCCCGCCACCTCTAACCCGTTTTCTACAACTAGACAAACGAGCCTCCGCTCCCCTTAG